TGTCTGAATAATCCGTTAACGTTGACTGTGTAATGTGATTATCCTTTAGAGAGCACTGGCCACCAACTGTCAGAAACAGCTGAATCCCTAAAGGGTTGGATTTTTTTTTTTTAATGCGGTATATCAAGTCTGGATACAAAGACCTCCTGTGTGTCAGCAGGAAAGCCATGACTATATCCCTCATATTCACAATCACACACTAATGGCTTCAAGAGCTCAAAAGGGGGAGTTCAAACAGTGTGAGAAAGGCTAAATACACACGCATGGCAAAAAAAAACAATTCAGCGCAGAAGACGTGGCAGCATTACATCATAAGAAAAAAAATCAGACCAACAAAAAAGAGGGGATAGGGAGGAACAGGACTGATGACCCAAGTCAGGTCATTTGATCCATTTCAGGTTTTAAAAACTACAGTCTTATTACTCAACAGCAGTTCTTCAGTATTTCAAAGTTCGCCTACACGGATGCAGTGTTAAAATAGCAGGATGGTGTTCTGCTTCAACACGACGTCAAGATGCAGTGTAACGGGAGTCGTTTATCCTGTTCCAATGCTGAATGTTAATTTAGGGAGTTACAATTGCAAAGTGATTCCCTAACACAGCACAGGACTGAGTGAATGAATAAAGGAGCATGCATTTACGAAGAACCTTTAGTCTCAGTGCATGCAGGAAATGGGGTCAAGCTTCCACGGTATTGCAGTGACACAGCTAGGCTCTTAGCTGGTGCAGCACAGCCCTGGGTGGCTTATAAGCATTTGCTCTAACTGTGCTGACCCTTGTTTACCACCGCCTTCCCCAGGAGCTCTGGCGTGGGACAGGCCTGGCTGCGCTCCGGGGCAGGAGTTCCTGCGTCTGGGATGCCCTGCTGCTGAGTCACTGCAGCCCTGCCCGCCTGAGGCCACAGCGCCTGTCCCTCTCCAGAGCTCCCGGGTGGCAGGCGAGATTGCATCTACAGCTGGGGTGCCCACAGGAAGTCGTCCATTACAGTCACATGAAAGGCACTCGGCGCAAGAGCTTCAGAGAGCGGCAGCCCTCTAGGGCAACTGCTCACGGAGGCCATGCTAACGAGAATCTCGGGGACCCATGTGATCCACGAGCAAGCATCAGGAGCACAGGACAGTAACCACGCGGGCTGCCCAGCATACAGAACCTGCTCTTATGTGCTTTAAGTACGGGGCAAGAGCGATACTTATACAACTGGACTTGTATAAGTGGTCATCTATGTACCCTGCGCCTCGATCAAGGGGGCAGAAGCTGCGTCTCAACCTAGAATCTTTGCCATGGCTGTGCTGTTTCATGGCTGGGTGACTGAAAATGAAAATATTGAGAACCGGAACTGCTGTGTTTAACCAGCGACAGGAAGGCACCTCTCAAGGCTCTTTCATCTTTAGCTGGCTACACAGACTACGACTTCATGTCACACAAGCGAGAAGGTTTGCACGATCTTCCCCAGACATGGGGATTCTGACATCCGATTGTTTGCTGTATGACCGTTCGGGGACTTTAATCAAAATGATAACCCCCACACCCCACCCAGAGCACACCTATTGATCGCTAAAGACTTTGAGACAATGACAGAAAAACTATCAGATAACATTCGTCTAGCTCCACACAGGCTGCACTGCATCCACAGCTGCCCTGACAAAAATGAACACCACTCTGAAAAAGTCAACAGAAAACGACAAAGCAGAAACGCTGCTGAGCAACCATGCGAGAGCTTCCTTTCAGCATGTTTAAAAAGCTCTGCTTCTTTCTTTACAGAACCCACTGGATCTGCTTACATATACAACCAAGGGGGACATCAACAAACACATTTCTCCGAGCTGAAGTCATACTGTTCTGTGCAAAGCGAGGGAATAAACAGGGGGAAAAAAAAAAAAAGTCTTGCAGACCAAGGCAGAGTTGCAGACATGCACCAGGGCGCTGCAGTCCGTCTTGGGGTTTATCTGCTGACGTGGCTGAGCCAGGAGTTTATCTGATCGCGGTGTCTGCTGCACCCTGTGCAGGTAGGCAAGGCAGACCAGCAGCTCTTCTGCACCGAGAGCAGGCCAGCCACCTACAGCAGAAACAGCCCGAGAGGTGCCTGCCAGTCACTGGTCAAACAACGCACAGGGAATCACCTGTGCAATCTACTAATCCTTCTTACATTCCCACCCCCATGAGGAGGCCAGGAGAACCATGTGATCTACCCTGCTGAGTCACTGTTCCTCACCCCAAAAACGACACTACTGAAGCAGGACACATCCTATTGATAATCCAGCATTCAAGAAAACCATCACTCTTATGAGCCTGCAGGGGGGCTTGCGCTTTATAGAGTACTTTCCCAGTTACTGTGCTTTAAATTAAAGCAAGATTCGCAATTCCTACCGACAAATCATCAGTTAGACAATTGTAAGTCGAGAGAAAAAAGATGCATGGACATCTTGGTCAAGTATCATGAAATGATCATTAGCTTTCTTCCTATTCAGGGCACTCAAGGAAAACAATCTACATCTATCCATCAAGAGAAAGCTGCTGCCTATTCCCAGTGAGTGCCGTGGCAACCCAGAGGCTGCCTGGAAAACAGAGGGCCAGACAGGAGCCGCACCCTGGATGGGAAGCCAGTTCAGCACAGAAGAACTCGAGGATAACCGAGAGGCACCGATTAGCCTAGCCAGCATGTCCTTGGAAGGTGTGAGGACGTCAGAGCACCTGGGGAAAAACCCAGGCTGATGCAGGGAAAGAACATGCAAACTCCACACAGAAGACACACCAACCTGGAATGTGAATCCAGGACCCAAGAGCTATAAGGCAGTAGCTCACACTGCTACACCGCCATGCCACTCAATGTAACACACATTATACCGCATTTGCAAAAGTCATGAACGTATTGCAAACTGATACCCTAGTGAAGCCACAAAGCCTCATCATGCAAGATGACTACCGATCACTGCTGAAAACCTCAAAAGGCAAAAACAAGGTGGAAGAAAAAGCTGTTGTTGGCACCAATCTTCAAAATCGAGTGCATAACGTGTAAGGTCCAAAGGCTTCAGTCACCACTCGGGTCAGAAACAGCTCGGAGCTCGACAGCTCGTGACTTTGTAACTCGCATTTGAACTTTTCCTCTTATTCCAAAATGTTAAATATGAACTGCTCCAAGGGCGTTTGTGAAGCAGCTGGTCCACAGAAGACCACAGCAGGATCAGGCACAGGAGAGCTGCTCTTCACCAGCCTGAGGTGTAGCCCCTTCCCCACGAGGTGCACTTCCGTGATGACTGGAAATAGGCTGATCTAACCAAGACAACATACAAAGCCTTTTTTACGTCAGACAAGGAGCGAATCCACTGCTGTAGGAGAATACTACAGGATTGTAGCAGTGAAGACATTCATCTCTCTCAGAAACAGGCCAACCTGATGTCGCCTGCTCCTACACCACCACGTTGGAGACAGTGGAAATAAATGAGGCAGGAATGCCCTGTTCCCAATGCCAAATCTACTTCCACAGAACTGACCAGTATTAGTACCATACTCTGCCATGTAGGTTCACTCTGAATACACTGTAGGGAGTTAATGTTTTTTATGATAACCGATACTGCAGTGCTTCCCATTGTCTCTTTCGTTTCTTCTTTTCAATGACCGGGACCGACATCGGAGCGACCTTTAAACCCACTGACAGCAGTCGTGTTTCTGCTGCCGGCTGCTTCAGTTCCATCACGGCGAGACGGCTCATTCGGGCCACGCCCAATGAGCCCCACGCTCCAGGAACTCTCTCCAACAGGGACAGCATGCAGAAAGGAGGAAGCAATCCGTGTTGCTTCCTTCCAGAGAAAACTGGATTAAGCCGCGCTGATGGTGTCCGCGAGACAAAAGGCGTCGATGAAACGTGAACAAGTTAACTTCACGTTCAGCTTTACGGTCTCTTTCTTAAGTAGCTGACACCTAGGCTCTGCGTTTGCTGCTCCTCAGTTGAGTATGACAGCGGAGCCTTTTCACTTTCCCATCTCGCTACACCTCAACCGAGTGTCAGCAACTGCATCACTTTATCAACGATTATCAACGATATCACCAGATGAGGGATATCTTCATGGTGCACAATCTTACATAAAGTGATGCAGTGCCCTGACGTGATTACGGTCATAATCTGACAAATTGCCGAAATAAAGCAGAAGCAAGCATTGATACATAGTGGCATAACGACCAGCAACGCCGCCTAGATCTGACGTACACCGCACAGCCCAAGCACACTGAAAAATAAGCAGCTCGACACAGATGATCGACGCGGCATTAACAGACTGTCAAGATGAACAAGGAGCAGGCGCAAACCCAGAAGTACTTGGATTCATGCATCAGGGAGAGTCTCATGCACATATTCTTGCTGAAGGCTGAAAATTACACTAAGTGCGTGCCAAACGGTCTCCGTGGATCCTTTTTAAGATACTTTTCCAATAAGTCAAAACAGGCTATACTTCTTAAACCACACAAAATTAGATGCGGTGGGCCTTGAGCCTTTGCTTGGCGTTAATGCGAAGATAAGCCGTTTTTATAATCGCATCACTTCGTTACTGAAACATTTGTGCAGCGCCAGTATTGTCGGCAGCCGTGTTCCGGTAGGATATACATTTAAGATGCCAAAACTGCACATCTGAACGCAGCACTGATCTACCAAAGACACTAAAAATTACAAGACCACCACGCTCCCTTTTCCCCGTTTTGAGATCAGCCTGCTCAAGCATTTCAGAGCTCCTGGTGGAGGGGACACGCCACTAAAGAAGGGAAATGGACACTGCCACGCCTCACGGCACTGGTGCAAAATAAATTCTCTCCTGAGACATCGGCTGAGGAAAAGGGATCAAAAGGAAAAAGAATGGGGAGCAGCTGCGTTCGGCACACCTCTGGCTCATGCCGCAGGTGGGTAAACGACATGCTTCCACGAGAACGTCAGGCAGGCCTGATCCAAGGCGCCAGGCCAGCTGACCGCGCAGCGGCGCCGGCCGAGCCGCGACAGCCGACGGAGCCCCCTACCTCCAGCACGGGCCCGGCCCCCAGGATGGTCCTCTCCACCCCGCTGGCGTAGCCCTTCTGGCTGAGCGCGGTCAGGCAGTGGATGAGGAAGTTGGTGCTCTGCGTCTTGCCCGAGCCGCTCTCCCCGGAGATGACGATGCACTGGTTGACGCGCTTGCGCAGCATGGTGTAGTAGGCCACGTCGGCGATGGCGAAGATGTGGGGCTCCAGCTTCCCCAGCTGGTGGTTCTCGTACATCTTGACGTACTTGGGGTTGTAGATGGGCAGGAACTTGAAGGGGTTGATGGCGATCAGGATGCTCCCGGCGTAGGTGTAGATCTTCTCCTTGCGGAAGCGGTTGCGCAGGTTGTCCAGGATGGCGGCCTCGGTGAGGCGGGGGAGGTTGCAGAGGTCGGCGCACTCCTCCTGCCGCGGCGGGAGGAACCCCCGGGCCAGGAGCCGCTGGGCCTCCTCCTCCGGGCGGGCGGCCGGCAGGTGGACGTACAGGATGGAGCCGTCACGGTCGCGCTCCTGCAGCAGGAAGTAGTAGCCCTCGCTCTGCGGGTGCCGGTCCTGTGCCTTCCGGGGCCAGAGCAGCACCCGCTGCACGGGGAGGTCGCTGGCCTCCAGCACCCACTCCTCCCCGCCGCACTCCTTCACCTCCGCCAGGACGTAGCGGCGGGAGGCGTCGAGGGCCAGGGCGGCCGCCGCGTCCCTGACCACGGAAGCCGCCGTGGCGTCCTTGGGGACCCTCAGGGTGCAGCATGGTGCCGTCGCCAGGGAGAGCCGGGGGTAGATCTGCAGCACGTAGGCCTTCCCGTCTTGGCTAGCTGCCCCCTCGCCATCTGTGACACTCATTCTGAGGGCCGCAGGCACGCTCCAGCATACCGCAGCGCCGCGTGCCTCACCATCTAGCTGCTGGGGGGGAGAAAGAGAGAGAGAGAGAGAGAGAGAGGGGGGGGGTCTGTGAGCAAGATGGGCACCTTTCCTGCGAGTGGGGGGCTGTGCCACCGCAGGAACACGTCAAGACTAATTCCACACTAGAGGACGGAAAGGAGAGACGCTCTTCGGCTGCAGAGCCTTCGCCGTGAGGTGAAGGAGGAGGCTCTACAGCCGAAACGTGAAAAACCAGAAAGGAGAAGCTCCGTTTTTTGTGCGCGGAATTAACCTTCACGCCGCTGTAGGACAACTTTGCATTACAAATTTAGCTTTCAATTCTAAAAAAAAAACGCTTGTAAATTCTAAAGCACGTTCTCGGGACCGTTTTGAAGACGTCATTTAAGGGTCAATGAAGCGATGGCAATTACTACAGCGGGTTGGGTTGTGATAAAACTATCCCAACGCCGGCGCTCCACGCTGAGGGTTCTGCAATTCCCCTCCACATGCAGTCACTGCACTACCTCCTACAGGTCTGACTTTGAGCAGCTGGAAACCTGGGACTACAGGTCACCCTCATCTCTCTGCAACCTTTACGAATCAATAATACAAGGACGGCGCGTGGAATTGGCCAACGGTTCCATTTCTCCAAAGTGCAGACAGTAGAGCCTGAATGAAATCTGAAAGAAATGACGTGGCACGGCACAAGGCAGCTTTGAAAACCACAGTCAGCTTCTCTCTGGCAGGCAGCTCAGTTTATTTTTATATGCCCAGCTTTTGCGTCATTCCCGACGGTCACCGAGAACAACGCTACGTTTACATTCCGAGAATTCACATGCTGCCATTACATCTCCAAGAGCTCTTGGATGGCTGATGCTACACAGTGCACCCACAGAGTTTGCCTAAATGGATTCACTACAGATCTCTAAAATCCTGTCCTAGAATATGCTTCACTTACACTGGTTTATGAAAACCGGGCCAGTTGTTTCATCTACTTAAATTACAGGTATCCCTGTGGGAGGGGGCTCAGAAATGTTCCAGAGGAAAAACACTAGATTAGGCCCTGGAATGGAGATGTTTTCAGTTTAATCTCCGAGTCACTTAATGGAGGGGAAATGTGACCTCAAAAGATGCCTGCCTCACAAGAAGACAAGAGTCCTTAAAACCTGAAAACTGTCCGACTTGAAAGGGATGCTACAGGACATTGGGCTCCTTTGAATCATGAAGGCAAAGATTACATTGAGAAAATATCAAGGTTAATTCAGATAAAATAATCGCATGTTACAGTCTGGTAGAACCTTTAACCTAAAAGGCAGAAACCAGGAAATCACATGTACAGACACTGATTCAGCTGCACAAGCGCATCCACACAGGGTTGTACAGGGTCACTTTCTATATGGAGCTTAAGTCACTGCACTGCGGCTCCAACAAGCGTCACAGATTAAAGAAGTGAAAAGGCAAGATTTCCATCACGGCTCCACAGTTTCCAAAGTAGCGGAGGTGTTCAAATTAGTGGGGTTGGCTCCAGCTTAAGTGATCGCTTTGAAAACATTCGCCTTTAGAGCAACCCGGAGAATAAAACAATGCAGGAAAAAAAGTTTTAACAATTTAGCAGTTGGGAATCACACTGGAAATCGGGGAGCATTTCCTCATGCCAAAGGGCCGTCGAGGTCTGGAGCAAAGTGCCCAGCCGTGCTATTGAAAGGGCTTGTCCGGGGACGATCAAGAAGGGCTGGGCAAGATCTTCAGATCAATAAACTTCTTGTAACCTAATTAAGCAGGGTAAGTTATGTAGGGGACCTTCTGGCCCTGCATGTGTTCAACGGACAAGTCAAAATCGCCTCTGGTTTTGCTCCGGTTCCCCAAAAGGAGGGAGAGCACTTCCCGGAAAGTTCAAGGCTGCTTTTTCTTCCATGCTCTCACTCCAGCTCTTGGCTCTTTGTTCCTACCCTGTCGTGGGCTCTTGCCCTTTATCATGCTCCCTTCTTTTCACCCACCCACGAGACCTGACCCAGCCACAGAGGGCGACTTCGAGGCTCAGCGAGCCCGTCTCGCCGGCAGCTCTTCTAGAGCAGCTCAGAACAGGCACAGCACAGAGAGGAGGAAGTCGTGGTTTCAGCACGTACAGGAACAGGGGCTGGGCCTTACTCGGCAAACCCCCCCCCCCTCACCACCCCACTTCGCTATCTCAGTAAGCAACTCTCTCTCATCAGGCATAGCGAGGAGCTTGGCGTCTGCAGCTTCATGGTTCAGAACACACACTAAATGGGGAAATGGCCAGAAACAACTGATTCTCTAAGAATCTGAAGAGCTAAAGCTACTTCCTTGATATAGAGATGTTCCAATGCTGCCTACAGAAAAGCAATCTAACAGCCCATCGGCACTGAAGCTAGGCAAGGCTGTACCCAGGACATTACAAGAGCTGTTTCTACTACTGGCTAACTGACCACACCAGCTGGCCCAGATTGGCAACATAATTACATCAGCAGCACAGGGAGGAGTCTGCTTGGACAGTTTCTCACAGGGAACAAAACTGCTCATGCACTGGGCCTTTGAGCTTTTGAATACAGCAGCAAACAATGGAAAAACAAGCTATGTAGAGCTGAATGACATCATCCAGGTGGGGCTGAACATTGGTGGTGGTGGAGGAGATCCCCACTTCCTGTAAAGCGCTTTGAGTGGAGTGTCCAGAAAAGCACTATATAAGTGTAAGCCATTATAAATTATCATCACTTTCTTCTGATGCAGAGATTATTCACGTGCTTGTTTTTAAATTTTCTAAAGTCTAACACCTAAGAGTTTGTGATTCAATGTCTTAAAACATAAAAAGATAGTGCAAGTTCTTATGTGAAATGCTTTATAAAAACTACCTCTTGTTTTTCAACATTACCAAGTGCTCTGAAGGACATTTTGTGCTCACCTAAAAAAAAAAAAACACTGGCTTAATAAGAGAAATAGCAGCTGACGCAAATTGTGTTTAAAATAAAAGTGTCACTAATTCAAGATGAATTGCTGTTCAGATGTTTGCCTTGAACTAAGTGACCTTGACTGCTGTCGATAGCCTCAGCTCTTGTGCCACTCTGCAATTTGTGCACTTGTTCAGGAGTGACATACAGAAAAGGGACATGCAATTTGGTTGTCAAAGTTACAGGACTTTGATACAAGCCAGGTGAGAAGCTGCATGCTTTTTTACCACCTCTTACCACACAGGGGAGAATGAGGAGGTGTAGACAGACTCCGATCTGCTCCCCTGCAAGCCATTAGTCTTAATACATCGCAGGCAACACAGGCCCATACAGGAGGTTCACTGCCCATTGGCAAAGAGGCTGGTCCCTCACCAACAGCACCTCATGCCTGCTCGAGTGCAGGAGACCGCAAGGGAATCCCAACTGGACAGCGGCATGACTGGAGACCTAAGTAATCAAATTCCTCAAGGGCACGGACTGTTAGCTCCTCCGGCATCAACAGATAACATGAACAAGAGTCCACGAGCGGAAGCTACATGCAAGTGCATTTAAATCCAAGAGCAGGAAAGCCATCTCTACACTAAGAGTTGCAGAAGTATGGAACAAGCTACCCCTCCACCACCACCAACGTGCGGCATCCACCTTAGATTAGGCTAATAAAATCAAGAGATGTAAGCTTTCAGAGTAGCAATACCACTGAACAGAACGCATCACATGAACACACCCCCTGCCACGTTTCAAACTTATATCACGGGACTCAACCTGTGCCAGGGCGAATGCACCAAAAAGGCCTGAGAAAAGGGGATATGAAAATAGGCTTTCAAAGAAACTCCGGGAAATTTTACATCGATGCTGAGGTGACAACTCCATTGTGGAAATCTTATTTCATGACTTAAATGCAAGTGGTCAAAGATTGTACCCAAGGGAACTGCCCTCATCTAACAAGCAGAGAGTACTGTATAGATGGATGACATTAAAACCTTTCATAAATAAAGCAAACATTTGGTTTTCACAGGAATTTTCATCAAGAGATGGGTTGTCAGGGATTTTCTTGTCTTGCTTGGTTTCATTAGGAAGGGACTTTTCCATCTCCAAGTCACAACTAGAATCTAAACCACTTCTCTTTTCGCACAACTAGATCTCCCTTCGCTTCCCCGTTTCATTCGGCCTGGCTTCCTCCCCTGCCCCCCACAAATTCAGGCAGATTTCCTGGTTAAATTAAATAAAAAAACGAACAATAAAATGGAGAATCCCCCCCCCAGAACAAAGATAAAAGGATTTTCTTTTCAGATTGGACGACCTCCTGAAAAACTCCAACATGCTGAGAAATTTCCACCCAAGCTCTGTTGCATAGTTGGCCTAATTATTTAATTAACTGTGCAGCTGTTAATACTTGTAAGCAGGCTTGAAGGTGTTTTACAGGCAACTGTGCCTTTAACGAGGTGAATGTGTGGAGTAATTAACTGTAAATGACCTAATGATGTTAATTGACTCCTTAGATTGCAACAAAAACCAGAAGAGCCTAGATCTCCAGGGACTGAGCTGGAGGCTCCTGCACTAAGTCAACAACTGCTCTACCCCCGACCCCTCCCTTCCTCATACAGAAGTGGCTTTATTGACTGCTTCATGCTATGCTTCTGCCAGATGGAGATAATTACGTTTAGAGTGGGGCAGTGCAGAGGAAACCCCAACATGCCAATCACATCCCGACAGGGAAAGCACTCGGCGCTGCCGGTTTGAAGACAGACTTCGAGGTCGAGGGCAGCAGTCGCGCAGTGGAGGGGCCCTGGGGACACAGATCCTGGGCCACTGGTGTGGAGTTTGCCTGGGTTCAGGGGTGGGCTTCCTGCAGGTGCTACGGTTTCCTTCCAAAGTCCAAAGCTTTTCTGGGAAAACTGACCCTGGTGTGAGTGTGTGCATCTGTGTGTCAGCCCGGTGTTGGACTGGCATCCAGTCCAGGGTGAACCCCGCTTTGCCACCACTGCTTGCCAGGATAGGCTCCAGCTCCTTGCAACCCTGAATTGGATGAAGTGGTTAGAAAACAGATGGACGGACTTCGTTGGCCTGGGTGCAGTG